ACTCATAAACTATCGTGAACATTCTAGGCCAACCAAGCATATTTTTAAGAAAGAGGATTATGTAAGCCTACATAAGGAGTGGCTGTTCACATTCATGCAATGGGACATGGTAAAGAGAAAACATGCATTGGATTCTGCAACAAAGAATTCCATTCTTATAAACACAGCTTTTAATTATTTTTCTCATGCCATTTTTAATATTCCCTCTCATTGTGAACAGATGTATGAAGCTTTTGGGCAAAACTATTTGAAAGAGATCCGTATTCTGTTTGTTTCTTTTTTTAAAAAAAAAAAACCCTTTATGTTTTATATTACATTTATGCCTGTGAATGCAAAAAAATAATAATTTATGCATAGAAAAATCCTAATTTATTTCAATTTATTTGTACTGTTTAATTTTTGTTTTTCTGCCCAAATGGCAGTCAAGAAGCATCTCAGTAATCAGCAAAGTGCTTTGGACTCTATGGACTACTATAACTAGGCATGGCAATAGTGAAACTTTCACAATACCTAGTTATGATTCCACATTCATCCCCCCCCCTCCAAATTGTGCTTCTCTATAATGAAATCTGTGGATGATCTTGAGTGGTGAGGGGAAGTTAAGTTATTCAGTTATTCAGGTAGTTAAAAGTGGCAGTAGGAAATTTGTGCCTTCAGACTTGCAAGATTAATGTTAATGTAGCTTTTCAATAAAGTAGAATTGACTCATCTAGTCATGTTTTGTAGTCTGGCTTACCCAGAAAGACTGAAAAATGGTAAATTCAGACCCTTTCTCAAACTGGTTTTATAGGTTCTTCAGTTGCAAATGTGCTGTGTTTCCAAGAATTATAGATACATTCCAATATAGTTTTTATCCAATTCTGTCCTTTTGAAGATATGTGAGGTCAAGAGTTTTCCTGATTTTGGAATAAACCAGATATGGAGTCTGATTGGTGGACCAAAGGGCCTTATGAATACGAGCTCCCCATCAGAAATTGTAACCTTGCTTTCAGCTCCATTTCTGGCATCCTGAGTCTTGTGCTCTCTCAGAGAAAAAAGCTACATGAGTGTGATAATTATTATGTAATTTGTATACAGAACCTACTGACCTTGCATGGTTTTTTTAAAAAACAAAAACTAAGGTTAGTCATACTTGGTTGACACTTGTATGGGAGAGCATCAGATTATATAAAGGCTGTAGATTCAATTAGGAAGCAATCTCCATCCTCCAACAACATATTGTCTCACACAGTATTTTTACCAAAAAATTTGCTCAACTTGAGAAAATCATTATTTTTTTATATAATCAGAGACTAGTTTGAATATTTATTCTCATAAATATGCATCTAGGGAAAGAGTCTAATTATGGTATTTATAAATATATAGAATATTTATAAATTATTTACATAATTTATCCAATCTTCTTATGGCAGAAGGGAGAATAACCAGGTCTTTAATAGCTTCTTGAATGTCGTGGTGTGTGTGTGGGGGGGTATGTGTGTGAGTCATTTGAACCTTGAGGATAGGAACCGACATCATTATTAGAGGGCAGGCGCCATGATAGAGAAGACATGCTTTCTATGCACCGTAAGATGATAATGCTTAAGTGATGCTCACTCTGCCTGTTATTACTGGATGGGCAAAGGCAACTAGAGACAGGAGGGCCCTCAAATAGCCATGCCTCTGCCATAAAGGGTTTTGGAGGTGAATAACCAGCACCATGAATTGCAGCCAGAAGCCAGTGTAACTGATGAATAAGCGTGGTCATAAAGGTATTAATGAGGCATGGCCAACACTGCATGCACCACTGAATTCTGAACTAGCGGTAGCTTCTAAGTGGTCTTCAAAACAGTTCCATGAGAAGCATAGCACAGTAATCCTTGCATGAGGCAACTAGGGTGTAAGTGACTGTCTGAATGGCCTCTTAGTCTAGGAATGGTTTCAAGTGGTATACAGATAGGTGTATCTGTGCAAAGGTTTTTTTGGTTACAGCAGCCAGCTGCTCTTTGAACTGGAATTGTGACTCAAAGATGACTTCCAAGTTCTGCATCAGTCACACATGGAGAAGTGCAATCCTAATGTGTCTTGATTCCTCCTCTTTCTGGAGTCATAATACATGCATTTCGATACTATTATTGATGATGATTTGATTTAGACACCGCCACCTCTGTGTGGCTCCTGGAATAAAAACAAATGATAGTATACAACCCTAATTTTTTAAAAAAATCAACAATATGACAAATCTGGCCAACAGCAACTACTATATACCATTCAAAGGACTCCAACTACCTTTCTTAAAGCCTGAGAAAAGAGCCAGGTCTTTAAGGCTGTCTGGAATGGCTCCAGGATGGGAGCCACCCAGTTCTCGAGGGTAACTTTATCCCAGAGGTCAGTTACCAGACATGCTTCTGCAATCCGATAATGACACTATTAGATTGAAGGAATTTACCAACCCTGTTGGATCATAGTGGTTTGGCTGATACCACAAGAGATAGGCAGTCCTTCAAATAACTAAGCTATATGTCATGTAAGGCTTTTATAGATCATAACTAGCCCCTTGAATTATACTTAAATCACATTCATCCATAATTTGTCCCCATAATTTTTATATGCAAGTTTTTTCAGTTGTTGTCTTCTTGTTTCTGCAAGCCTTGAAATGCCGTATACAAGAATATGTACTTTTATTCATAGCACACTCTTCTGAAATTAAATGAGTCTAAGGGAGTGCCTGTTCCGATGAAAGGAAATCTATTTAAGTAAAACAATAAGGAAAATAAAATTGCCAAGTAGTTTTGATGTTCAATTTGCAAAAGAAAAACTTAGACAGGGCCCAATCCTGCCCTTAATAATCTTTGTCTAGTTTCCTTCCATTCTTCCTACTTTTTCATTTCTAAAAACAGAATGGATTGGGTTTCTTACAAGCTGATGCCTTTAGTTTTATGGAATTAAACTCCAGACCTTGTTGCTTGATTGGCTAGTTGTTACTAGGGTTCTAGCCAACTGTTTATGTGTGGGGTGTGTGTGTATGTAAAAAAGTTATTCTACAGACCTGTAGCTTTTCTTTCCTGATATCAGGGCTTTGACATTAGGAGAACAAGACAAAGGGGCAAGCATGATGAAGAAGGAACTGAAAACATGTTCAGAAAACTTGTTTTAGTTGAATGTTTGAGGGTTCAGACTGAGAAAAGAATGGGCAGTGCTCATGGCTCTGTCCTTCCATTCCACATAATCAGGTGGAGATCTGAAGGGTAGTTAAATTTCTAATATTGAATATTGTACCGTCCTCCATATAGAACTTGAGATATTTTTCATTAGGATCCTTGATCGCAAAAAGAGACATAGTCTCATTCAAAGTAATGTGAGTGCATGTCCCTTCAGACCTCCATGTGAATGTATGTGAGACTTCATTCTCAACCCAGTTGGATCTCACCATCTAAACAAAATTAGGTTCCTGTCTGCTGTAGCTCCAACTATGGGGGAAATTTAGAACACTCATTTCTTTCCCATAAGTTGGAAAAACAATAGCTCTGGCAATAAAAGAGGGAAAATATATTGGTCTTATTTTTTTAGTTGCTGGTCTGATTCTAGGGCTGTGATGGCAAACCTATGGCACACGTGCCAAAGGTGGCACACAGAACCCTCTCTGTGGGCACGCATGCCATTGCCAGCTGCTCTTCTGGGTTCCGTCATGCACATGCGCACGGTGGCCAGCTGCTCTCTTCTGGGGTCTGCGCTCCTGAATGCGTGCATATGCGCATACATACACATTCCAGTTTTGGCATTCAGTGCCGAAAAGGTTAACCATCACTGCTACGGCATTAGAAATATTGGAAGCTTTGAAAGCAATATACTCCAACTGGAGGGACAAGAGTGCCTACTACCATTGGGAACCTAAACATGGCTTATTTTTGTAATGGGGCGTGGGTAGAAACATGTTGGATTAGACCTAGTGGTTAGACTTACTGGTCTTAGAATTGTTTTTAATTTTGTTTAATTTTTGAGGGTGCAGATTTTTAACAAAAATAGCTTTCCAGACTTTTGTTTCTTACCAGCTACTTTGAAGGTATTATTTGGACTAGGAAATTTACAAGAGCAACTTCTTCTTATCTTCCCCATGATTTACCTAAATAGCAACATTAATTTCAATAAGCAAATGAGATTGCTTAGGGCTGACCTATGGTAACTCTGTGTTATTTGATTGATGGATTGATTTTAAAAGATTTACATTGCCACACATATTGTAACAACAACCCTGGACAGCACACAAAACAATCAAAACATCAACCACCCCCAAATAATCAGAATTTTAAAAAAATCTATAAAACCTGTATAAAAACTCACGACACTCCAAGGTAGCATTCCCTTACATCCACATACCATTTTAGTTGATTCCAGCCTCATCCTACCACAATTATTGTGTTACAACTCTAAATTATTTGTAAAAAATTGATTTATCATAATGTTTGATGAAACAATTTGGCTTTCCACAACTCAGTGTTCCCAAGGAGACCTCCTGGGAAATATTTTACAGTTAATTCCTACTTTTAAAAGCATTAATAATAATTTAAAGCTATTATAGATGTGCACCTGGGCTAATTATGGTTAAGGCTACTTTTAGTATCATGTTTTCTACTTTACAGTGTATGAGTTAACTTCCAGTGAAAAAGGCCACAGAGCATTCAGTCTGGTTATGAAAATATTTGCATCCCCAAGATGGAATTCTGTTTGCAAATCAAAATTGATACAGATAGTCTGCTGGTCTTCCTAATCCTGTTTTCAATTTCTGTCTCTCTGCCTTAGTGGTATGCTTCTTTTCTCTAGTCCAGAACTGAAGAAGGAAATCATTAGTAGTAGACAGGGAGTTCAAAGAGAACATGTACTCATACAGTGTTTCTTCAAAGAAAATTTGTGGGTTTGGCCAGTGGTCTGAACTATCTTTGAGAGGCAACAGCTGTTACTGCCCCAAGGAAAAAATCCTTTCCCAGCCATGACAATTAACCACACATTGCATTGCTTTTCAGGATATTGCTGTGGTATCCACCTTTGGCATGGGCAACCTTTTGCAAACCTGGAGGAGAATTTCTGGAAATAGAGGAACAGCATTCAAACCTTCCTTACTAAGAAGATCCAAGGTGTGAGAAGGAGAGGGCTAGCTGCTTTAGCCTAGCAGACATGCCTTTTGGGCTGAAATTACGAAGGACTCGACGCTATAATGTCCGGAGCAAGAACTGTTTCATGACCCGGATTAAACTGTTGGAGAACAACGTGATTGAGTGCACATTGTCTGTGGAGAGCACTGGGCAAGAATGCTTGGAGGCCGTAGCTCAGAGGCTGGAATTACCAGAGGTAAGGGTAACCCAGGAAAAGACCATCTGTAACTTGCCGCTTGGTGTGTTTTTAGCTCTGGCTGTTTGTCATTTGGAATCTGTTTATTACAATCATGTTATTCTTGGAATTGGTCTGATCTTATCATTGAATGGAACTTTGGCAAATGTACCTTGCTTACCCAAACATCAGGGCAGTCAATTACCTACAGTTTGGATTGTGATTCAGTGTTATTTCCTGTCAGGATGAAACTCTTAACTAATATGCAAGGGAACATCTTTTTCCTTGTCCATAAGCAAAAGTCTGCTTTTGCTTATATGTAGACAGTGGATAACAATACAACCACATTCACACATGACATCAGACCACTTTTATTAATGGGGGGTGGCTGTACGTATGAAATATATGTCAATTTTGCTGGAAGAAGTATATCTTAAAAGTCAATTTTTTCTTCTGTTTCATTAAACAGTCCATGAGATGTAAGATTGATTCTAGCAGTATGTTTCAAAAGTCAGCTAATTCTCACTGAAGTATACTGGAATTTCAACATGAATCTCAATTCAATGCTATTACAAGTCTGATTTTATTGCCACAAGAGTCTAAAGCACGATAACTGTTTCCTCTTAAGGGAAGAATGGTGCCTCTTTACTTCAGCCACAGATCCGTAAATCAGCATTTGAAATTTAGTGATAAACTGATGAATAATAGTGGTACAATTGCCCACCTAGGTTTTTTTTAAACAAAGGGTACATGAATGTTATGAGTGACTTTATTTAAAAAATAAACAAAAAAGAAGGAGAGGAAAACAGTGTGAAAATCCTAGTGGATTTTCTGTCTGGTAATGTCATTGTGTCAGTACTATCCACCTCTGCAGCCATCAGCCATCTATTTTTTTATTTTAAGCCAGAGGTTGTTCCAATAGCATCTGTAGGGGGCAGCCCAGAGGTGGGCTTCACATAATTTAACAACCAGTTTGCCTAGTGCAGAACCGAAAATGTGAGTCTGCTTGCATTCTGCGCTTGTGCGCGGCTTCAAACTCATGGTGATTTCATGTGCGCGGCTTCCAGCACACCTTCTCGGGCAACCACGGTGAGTAAAGCGGCCGTGGTGCAGAAATCAGCTGGGCTGCATGGATGGGGCAAGCGAGCCAGAGAGTGAGATATATAGGATGGGATAGCATCGGGCAGTGGTGGTGGTGGGGCAGCCCGTGGTCAGAAGTACTGGTTCACCTGAACCGGTCCAAACCAGTACATGACTACCTGTACTCTTTATGGATTTGCCTCTACACTAAATGGCTGTTTGTAACTATTTCCCCCCACCCCCCACATGAAGTGTCATTGGGAATGTTATCTATAGAATTTGGATACATACTAAAAATAAATTCAGCAGACATGGATTAACATGGAGTACAATCTGTACATTGTAGGTATCTATTCTTTGAATTATGTATATTGTATTTATTAAAAATACAGTATTTTGTAACATCCAACTTTTCAAAGTAATGAGGAGCAAGGGTAAATAACCAGTTATTGCTATTGTAAAATACTAAAATACCATAACAGTGTAATGCTTCCGCTATAATTAGTAAATAGTAACGTAATCTAATAGTAATGTAATAGTAATCTTTTCAAAAGAAAATGCTTAAGAAAATGAAAATGACTAAAATTGCTGCCAGGCAAATTATTATATAGGTTCGAGTGCATCTTTTTAGGAAAGGTAGTGCATTTATCAAAGAGAGCACTAACATCAAAATACCTCCATTCATCTTTTGATAGAGTACAATAGTTCTTCTAATACCACAAGATGGTTTGGCATGGGGAGAGAGACACCTTCAAATTTCTGAACCCAAATTATTTAAGGCTTATACTTCTAACCCGAATTAGAAAATACGCAATACAGGAAGTACAGAGTTGACATGAATAAAGCTGATATTACCAGTTAATTCTGTAGTGGTTTGGTTCAGTGTTTTTGACGTCCAATAGCCCTATATTAGTACTACCAGACAGGTATGAGAAATGGATTTTCATGGCTAGGAATATTTACAAATGGTGAATGAATGAAAACTTACTTTAAAAATAGCTTTGGGGCATTGAGATTACCTGAGGTTCTAGTGCCCAGGCTAGATTTAGGCATGTCTTCAAGTTACAATCTTGCTATTTGAATGGATGTTCATCTCCACCCATAATGAAACACAAGATTGCTGGACAAAGGATAATCAGCCTCACGCAGCCTGCCTCTTTTCAAAATCCCCTTTCATTTTATTGCCCCTAATCCAGCTCACAATTGAATCCAAGCAGAGGTTCGTTGTTTAGTCTCCCCCACTTAATGATAAAGAGAAAGCACAACATAAAGTTTCATCTCACTCCAAAATTTGGATCTTCAGGTACATATTGAGAAGACAAAAATCATGCAAAGGCAATTGCTGTAGACGCCAGCAAATACTGTTCCCATCTCAAGCCAACCTTGGAAAACCCAGCTCTGCAAGTGGGAGTGGCACTGAGCTTCATTCCACAGAGTTGGGCCAAAAGGTTTCAGTGGTATGAAAGAGCTAAGAATACTATAGAATATTTTGATCTTGTGTTTTAACCAGAGAGGAGTGGCTGATCATAAGTTGCTTTGGAGGCTGTACACCATCAGCAGGGCTGCGATACTGAAGAAGTTTCTTCTTTGCTGGACAATAACTGCATGAGGCCCTGTTCTCTTTACAAATGATGCCAAAGTATAAGGAATGAGATTTCAGTTATTTAAATTCCTTCATTAGTAAGAATGGAAATAAACATTAATGTTCTTATGGAACAACTAAGACAAGGAGGGCCTTTTATTTCTCCGTCTTTCACCCTGAATACAGTATTCTTGTTGGGAGTGTAGATGGACATTTGATTGCTGCCTATACTGCTTTTGGAAGGATAGGATTTTGACGTCATTTAAGATCAAGTCATGGACTTGTTGCTAATCCAATTAATAGTTGGTCAACATTGTTTGTTGTGTATAAATCTTGTTTTTGTTTTTTTTTAAATTAGCAAGGCCAAAGGAAAAATCAGAATTACATATAATAAGCTAGCAATGATGACTAAAAGCATGATAAAATAGCTGCCATGCAACTCCTGGAACTCATTTTATCTCTATGCTCTTGCAGTTGCAATCTGATAGTTCAGTTATCCAGTTAAGATATGGGTTAAGGATATGGGTTAATATAGAATTGAACTACGCGGCATTCCATTCCAGGCCAAATTCTCTGCCACAGCTTAGTGTAGTCATCACAAAAATGTTTGAAGGTACACAAGGAGCAGCTTTCTTTACAATCACCATTGCTTGCCAGGCACCATGAATTTATACTGATTCATTTTTTCTTGGAATGCTGGACAAGCTTCAAATGATACATTTTGTTTTTGTTAGTTTGCTTCTGGAATCTCTTCTGATGACTTTTGTGTTACTACATTGTAGTACATTAAAAAAAAAAGCTATCAAAACCTGCTGCTGTTTAAAAGCTGTTCCGAATTACTCTGCAGCTCTAGCTTTCTTCCAACGGATCTAAGTTTTAACCACATGTCATTTTGGATAATTGGCAGCCTTTTATCACAGCTGATACAGGAAACTTGGATTCTGGTTTATAGATGTAATAACATTTATTGCTATGCTTGTTTTCACTCCCCCCTCCCCACAAATAATTTTGGAACCATATTTTTACTGAGATCTGTGCCATTTGATGTTGAGAAAGAAATGCAACTCCAGAAGATTTAAATTAAAAAAGGTCTAAGACTATTTAGAATATATCAGATTTCTGTTATATTTCATATCTGGCAAAAAATTATGAGTTCCACCAATTATTTTATGATGAATTTTTCTTTATAACCTAAACTGAGATCTTTTCAGCCAAGGAATTGAAATTTTAATGATTTTCTCAGAGTCCTCAAAATCCTGTTTTTCTTTAACCTCTTTTAGTTAAGACATTGAATTTGTTACTTTAATTAGTTGAACTTTTTAATGTATATTACAGATAGTTTTATTCGATTTATTTTGCTGGCCTGTTTTAGTCTTGCTGTTATAAAGATAGTTTTAGTTTCTTACTGTATTAAGAGAAGTTTCCTAGGGACTACTTGCTCTAAAGGCAGTAAATAAATATGGAAACCAGTGAGCAATTAGTATTAATAATATGTTACCAACACTTTACAAATGGATAAAAATCATGCTCTAAAAGAACAGGAACACATTTTTTTTTACTCCTTGATCCTCTTGTAGCAGTATCTTTTCTTCCTTCCTTAGGATTTTAAATATTTCAGTTGCAGTTCTTACATGCCACTTAAAATTAAATTGTTGTCTGATGATAAATAAAAACTGTATTCATTGAAAAAAAGACTCATCTTCTAATTCCAATCCTGAATCCAGCTTTACATCCTGCTAATTTTGCTGATCAGATTTTTATACATGATTATTGTTATTGGTAAGACCTAAAAGCCACCTTAAGCCAGAAAGCGGCAATGTGAAAACAGACAACATGAAGACAGGAGAAGGGAAGGTGTGTTGAATATGTTAGCCACCTTGAGTCATTTGTAAAAATAAGAAAGGCAGGCTACAGATACAATAAATAAAAAATAAACAAAGTAAGCATGACCTCCAGACACCAGAATACTTCGAGATTTCTTCCCAAGAGCTGGTGGTTCTTTGAAAGAAAAATCTTTTTCCCGAATCAGAATAATCATATATTGTTGGAAGATTTCAGTAATTAAGGGATGGAGAGGGGAGCTGGCAAATATTGTCAACCTGTTTCTGAACCCAGTAACTGATAATGGCTGTCCAAGATTACAGCTACAGGTCTTCCCCATTATTTGCTGCCTAAACCTTTTAATTGGCAATGCCAAGGATTGAAGTTGATCATTCTGTATTTTACTGCTGAAGATTGGCATCTAAATGGCTATTTAGCAGCTGAAGTCTTTACATAAATGTTTATTTAAATATACAAAACTATGGTTTGAATATCTTAAAACAGTGATGCCGAACCTTTTCGGCACTGAATGCTGTAAAGGGACGTGCATGCGTCTGGGCTGCAACCCGGAAGAGGAGTGTTTTTGCTGCCCAAAAACGGCAACAAAAACACATGGTGCATGTGCGCGCCCAAAAATGAACTTCCGGTTTTAGCAACTGAACTTCCGATTTCAGCCAGCTACTCTTCCGGGTTTTTAGCGTGCATGCGCACGCAATGATCAGCTGGCTGGCATGCATGCTCACACAGGAAATTGGAAAACCAGCTAGAAGATTTTCTAGTTTCCAGTGCTGCCGCATGCAAAAAGGCCAGCTGATCGTCGCACGCGTATGCGCACCAGAAACCCAGAAGAAGAATGGGTGATACTGTGCGTGCCAGGCGACATGGCTCCGCATGCCACAGGTTTGCCATCACGGTCTTATAAAACAAATCTTTGGAATGCTTGGATGATGACATATTTCAAAATGTCAGACTGTCTTTGTCCTTTACGGTCTTGCGTGCTGCCTAGCCTTCAGCTACCAGGAAAACTGTCCTAAGTGAGGCAGGTGGTTTGGAGGTACACACCTCCAAAGGGATTACATGATCATATGTTTGGGATGGCTTCTGGATTAGGAGATTTCAGCTGTATCTCTTCTGTATCTCTTCAAGACCGCCTTCTACCACATAGCTCCCAGTGACTGGTAAGATCCCACAGAGTTGATCTTCTCCGGGTCCCGTCAGCTAAACAATGTCGGCTGGCGGCCCCGCGGGGGAGGGCCTTCTCTGTGGCTGCCCCGGCTCTCTGGAACCAATTACCTCCTGAGGTCCGGACCGCCCCCACCCTATTGGCCTTCCGCAAAGTGGTGAAGACCTGGCTCTTCCGGCAGACCTGGGGCCGTTGATCTCGTTATAATGATCTTGCAAGACCCGGCCACCAATTGGAGTGCATGTGTTTTAATGTTTTTAAAGTTTTTAATGTTTTAATAGTTTTCTTTTTAACATTTTTTACGGGATTGTTCACTTTGTTTTATTCTTTGTTGTAAGCCGCCCAGAGTCCCTTGGGAGTTGGGCGGCATAGAAATGCGGCTAAATAAATAAATAAATAAATAATTTCTATATAACATAATTCCTATAATTACAATAATTCCTATATTCACACCTATGATGACATTTTTCCACGGCTGCTACATATTTATTGAATGTGTATTATATTGTAAGTGTTTTTTATTGTTTTATAGTTGTTCACAACCCAGAGTCACTTGCTTGAGATGGGTAGATATAAAGATTGAATAAATAAATCAAAAAAATAAATAAAATAATTTTGAAGAGCTTATTTTATGATCCCAGATGTATCGAATCCCTTGCAAAGGTCAGATGCCTTATGACACACCACCATTGAGGTACTCCAGAATGACCTGTGAATTCATTCTCCAATTTGCATAGTAACAGAAAGCATGTAATGGAAAAGGGAAAAAAAAAAACTTTTATTGTTTGTAAATGTGACCAAATAATAACTTTTTTGTTTGTTTTTAAACTTTTTTCTCTCTCTAGACACACTATTTTGGCCTTTGGTTTCACAACAAGAGCCAGCAAGTGCGATGGGTGGAACTGGAGAAACCATTGAAAAAGCAGCTGGACAAGTTTGCCAGCGAATCTTTGCTTTTCTTTGGGGTCATGTTTTATGTGCCCAGCGTTGCCCTCCTGCAGCACGAAGTCACAAGGTATCTGTTGCAAAGATTCTTCACTTTTCTTCCCTGCCACAGATACTTTCTTGTTGAAGAGATGTCTACCAGAGGTCATGAGTTGCAATTCAGAATTTTGCCTTAATAATGTATTTGCTCTCCTTTCCGTTACAGATTTCCCCTTTTCTTGTTAACTTTTAAACATAGGCTAGCACTTTAGAGGTCGACTTAATATCTTAGTTAGGTTACTGCCTAATCTTGATTTGCAGATTCTCTTCAAACTCAGGTTTGAAAACCATGGTTTGTAGCAAGCCAGCTTTTCATAGTACACGGCACTACAGATCCTACTGTGGTATTCCACTGTGACTGAAGACTCGCCATGTTTCTATCTGCTAGAAATTATGATAATCCACATTGATCTTGTACTATTGTATGCCATCCTGAACAGACACGCAAGATTGAACTATATGTTATTTATAAATAATGCTTTTATTTCCTTGGAATCAATTATACAATTGAATTGTATAATTAAGAAAGGTCCAAGAATAAGCCATGTCGGTGAATGCCTTTATATTTATGAATATAAATTAACAGAATAATTTAACAGTTAAGTGAGAATATCTGCTTGGGTTCCACTTATATTTGCCTATAACTGCCTTGTTTTTTCTGTCCTTATAATAGGACACACAACACAGTTTCTCCTTTCCCTATCTCTTAAGATCTCTAAATGAATAATTTTTCAGATGAATTATTCCATGTATTTTCTGTTCTCTTCATAGAAACCTGTTTTCTTCAGTGGAATCACCACTAAACATTGCAATTGAATGGAAACCCTGAAAATACAGTAGCAGCTTCCTTACCCTTGGGTTCTAGTAATGATAGCAGCGTAAGGCACGCAGTAGTGGTGTCAAGCTCACATCCCGTCTCTGGCAAGGAAGCAACTGCCTGATTCTGTTTTCCCTGCCAGGAAACCTGTCCTTGCAAGTTCTTGCTATTATCTCAGATTTGTGTTGTAGCATGCCAGCCACTCTGCTTTGGAGAGGTATTGCATCATATGTGCCTGCTCCTGCTAGAATAGTAAGAATGCTGTTACTTATATGTCATTATTGCACTTAAGGCAACTTTTGGTGGAACCCTTCTAATTGAAACTGTCTTGTGGTGGGAGACAGGACTTGGCTTTTTACTGTTACTTGCAATTTTATACAGGATTCCAATATGACTCAGGAGGAATCAGTAATCTATTCTGGTCCAGAACACAATAGAATGGGCTTGTGCAAAGTATCATGGGCCCTAATACTTCATGCAGATTCTGCAGAGTCTTGTGATGAGATGTTGGCAGTGCTTTTTTGAGGTCCAGTTGGATATACTGGTGCACTAATAACTGTATTGATAACTCATTGCAATCCTATACAATTTAGGACATCTTCATTAGGAACATTCAGATAAAAAGTCATTTTATCTTCTGGATGAAAGTGTTGGGTAAAGTAATTGGTAGATTTGGATTACAGGGGACGCTGACACTCTCCAGCTTGATCTCTTGTTTTTATCTGATTTTGGGAAAAGAATAAAAATATTAAACTGCAGGGCTGTGAACTTTTCAGTGATTCTGAGGAGGTTCTTTGGACCTAGCCCAAGCTTAGCACCTCTGCTATCATTAAAACATCTAGTCTTTTTCAGTCTTCTGTGCAAACATGAAAATAATCCTCTTTTTTTAAGCTTATGCCTGAAATCATTTTTGAAGCATGCACAGCCTTATCAAATTTCTCACTGAAAGCTATGACAGACTGTGTAGAGCAAAGGACAGTGAAAGGTAATCCTGGCAAGATGAAAATGCCTGTAGTAAATGGGTGAGATAACTTGGCTTTAGATGAGCCACCTCTGTTGGATGGAGTTTCATTCTTAAAATAGTGGATGTCTGACGTGAGGTAGCATTACTGCTGGAATTTGAGGAAATGGAGAAATGGTGTGAAGTGCACTATTCTCCAGTGTTCCAGTCATTCATTCTCTAGATATCTGGTTGGAGAGTCTTCATGTGGTTTACAGGGAGCTATCCCTGGAAGGCAGTTGATATAAAATGCAATACTTTGATTGCTGGCATAAACTAGGCATTGTTGTCATATTAACACTGAATTCCAGTTTTTACATGCTAAAACTTATTTCTTCCAATGGTGAGTTCAAAGTGTAGTTGTGAATCTTTTAGTTTGCATCTTAAAGGCTTTGCATCTTCCCCATATTATTTCCCATGTGCTCTGATAATTATTTGAAGTCAATTTGCATCCCTGACCTAATAAAGCTAGTCAGGCAGGCCTAAAGCTGAGGTGTCTCTATGCAGTGCCCCATATATGGAATGCTGTGCCCCAAGGCATAGAAATTTATTTCCATTGCCTCTGTAGTCTGTTGGCAATTAAGAATTTCTTTTTTAAAAAAGCATTGGATTCTGCTGTCAGCCCATATTGTAGTTATTGATTATCGATTTTGATGCTTCTTTGATATTGCTTTTGTACTGGTCCCAGGATTTTATCAGAGAAAGGGATGGGGGTAGGAACATTGCCATCTATTATAAGAGGTGGAAACTTCCACATTTGAGAGAAAAGAACAGCGTTAATAATCACTGTAAAATATTCTAAATTATATTTTTGGATTGTCAGAATTTTGCTTGAAAAAGATGGTATACTGAAATATGGTCTGAGAAGAAGAATCTTCTGAAGTTTTGTATATCTTTGCAAAAGAGCTTTACGTAGGTCCTATTAATATATATGGTAGGCAGTTAATAAATATCACTACAGTTTAGTGTTTGTTTTCTTTGTTACAAACAAAGTAATCCAAAACATGATATAGCAATATGAAAAAGAAATCAGTTTTCTTGCTTCAGCCCTTTCAATTAAAAGGGCAGTAAAGCAAATTATATCAACACTTCATTAAACAACAAAGGTTGATTTGGCCACTCCTACCCTATGTAAATTTCTGCCTTCATTTGTCACACAGTAGTTCTCTCCATATAGTTATAAAGGTAGATCATGGCTTTCTTTTAAAAAATGTAAAGCTTGTACATATAATAATTGGTGCCCATCAGTCTGGGAGAAATATTTCAAAAGCTCTGGGACTGCATCAATCCAAAGTCAGAGATAAAGTCTTGGAAAGGAGATGATTTGAAAAAATAGTGAATCTTCCTAAGAATAGCTGTCATGTTACTGTCAGTCCAAGAACTGACAGTAATAATCTAAAATTATCCAAGAAGTCACAAAGACCACAGAATACTATCCAGGAATGGCCTCTCTCATCTTGGTATAATTTCACCACAAAAGAGCACAAGGGAAAAATGAAATTAATGGGAAAATAATAGTGCAGAAGTCATTGCTCACTAAGAACACTGACAGACGTGTCAAATTTGCCCAGAGATGCATGATTGATCCTCTTATTCTTTATGGTAAAAACTAAACACTGCATTCCACAATAAGAATATCATTTCACCTTTCAAAGATGTAGTAAGAGCTGTGGTGGCACAATGGTTAGAATGCAGCACTGCAGGGCTAACTCACTTGTCACTCCAGGAGTTCGATTTTGAGCAGCTCAAGGTTGACTCAGCCTTCCATCCTTCCGAGATAGATAAAAAGAGGACCTGTATTGTTTTGGGCAATATGCTGACTCTGTAAACCGCTTAAAGAGGACTGTATGTAAGTCTAAGTGCTATTGCTAGTTGTATGGTCATGATCTGGAGAGCCTTTGCATCTTCAGAATTTCAACAACTTGCCATCATTGAGAAAAGCATGAATTCTGTGTATCAACAATTGTACAGGAGAGTACCAGACTGAAGCTGACATGCAATAGCATTGTTTGGTGCTCCCAAATATTCAAATACATATGCAAGAAAATGGATAAAAAGAATAATTTTATATCACTCAGATTTGCTGTGCCTGGACTCTGACTGAGGAGGACACTCTGAAGTGCCCATGGTACCAGCTGGTGGCATGAGCTGGGATGACTTTGAGCCAGTGACTCCTGAAAAAGAGGGTTTCTGTGCTCTCGGTTCAGCTTATTTACTGAATTTAGGTCCTTCTGGGTTATGAAAGTGACCAGGGAGGTGACCCACTGTTGGGTCCATGCTGTTGTGGCAGCTTCTTTGATGGAGGGGCTGGTGCCCCAGCCTTGAAAGAGACAATAGTGCACCCCCTCCTCAAGAGTCCATCCTTCTACCCAACAATCTTCAATAATCTTTGACTAGTCTCTTACCTCCCCTTTATGGGAAGGATTTTAAGAAAATGGTTTATGAGCAGCTGAAGAGAACCCTGGAGGAAATGGAATATCTAGACCTATTTCAGTCAGGTTTCAGGCTGGGATTTAGTACTGAGACAACTCTGGTTATGGTTTTAGATGACCTGTGGCACAGCTGGGAAGGTAGTGGGGCAGCCATTCTTCTGTTCCTTAATGTCTCATTGACTTTCTATATTATCAAACATGGCAAGCCAGCTGTGTGGGTTGGGGATTGGGAGCCCTGATTTACAATGGTTCTCTTCCTTTCTCTGGACCTAGCTCCAGTTGATTGGTTTAGATAGGATGCTGAAGGGTTCTGTTTGCCTCCCTCCCTTCATTTCATTTACATGAAACCACTGGGCAAGATCATCTTCCAGTTTGGGGTTTGATATCATTTCTACTAGAAAACCCCAAATATTGCTGAGGCAAATCTATTTGTCATAGAGGAGTAGACTAAGGTTCCTACATAGCAATGTGAGAGACTGATCACTAATTAGAAGGAAGCATCAGTTGCAATTATTGCAGCCAAAGTCGGTACAACCAGTTACTGATTAAAGACACACATTGACACATTATGTAATGAACGTAACAAAGATAAAAGTTTGGTATTATTTATTCCCTCAGATTCACTTTCTGTATCTGTAGTGTTTAAAGTAAGCTCTGATAACATTCATTTCGTTTTAATAATATTCATAGATATGCAAAAATTCAGAAAATCTGAAAAAGGCTGTTTCACTGAATTACAATTTCAATTGGAAAGTTGCACAAACATGTTCGTCTCTTAGCAT